GCCATTTGATACGGCCAAAACGTGTCACATCGATATAACAGGTCTCCCATAGGTCTATTTGGACCAAGTCCGTTTCAGGACATTTGGGGTCGATCTAAGGGTGTCCGTCTGTATGGCTGGCTGGTGTGTACGATAACTCTCGAAGGCAGTATCGGATTTGTTCCAAACTTGGTATATCAAAATATTATTATCAAACTTAGATTGAGTTCGAAGATGGGCAATATCGGTCCACTCCTTCTGGTACCTTCCCCACAAAATGTCAACATTTTCAAAGAAAATAATTTACTGCACAGAAAGAGAAAGGATAATTCGGGTTTGCTCCAACTTTGCGAAACCTAATATTTATACCAGTGTTACCACCAGTCACCAGTTTATACAAGTGTTACCACCATGTATAAATATCGGTACACTCCATCAAGTACCTTCCCCAAAAAGGATCAATATTTTGAATAATTATTACTCTCAAAAAATGTGATGTAAGTGTCCGAATGTCTTCAAATTACACACATTACAATATTTTTATTAACCCAAGGTCTGGTGTGAATATGGAATATATCGGTCCACTCCTTCTGGTACCTCCCCCACAAAGGTTGAAAATTTTGAATATCCATGAAGCTCATAAGACGTGAAATTAACTTCCGATTCCATTCAAACTTGGTACATCTCAATATTTTCATAAACACAAGATCTGTTATAAATATGGTAGAGATCGGACTATTCTTTCTGGTACTTCCCCCACAGAGGGTCAAAGTTTGGAAAAACAAAAAAGGTCATAAAATCGGAAATAAGTATCTGGTTCTCTTCAAATTACACACATCACAATATTTTTATTAACCCAAGGTCTGGTGTGATGGAATATATCGGCCCACTCCTTCTGTTACCTCCCCCACAAAGGGTAAAAATTTGGAATATCCATGAAGCTCGTAAAATGTGAAATTAATTCGATTCCATTCAGACTTGGTAAATCTCAATATTTCCATCAACACAAGAACTGTTATGAAGAAGGTAAAGATCGGACTATTTCTTCTTGTACCTCCCCTAAAAAAACGAGAAAAACTTTTCAATGAAATCTAACGACATATTTTTTTACATTTTTTTAAAATTTTATTGAATAAAAACAAAAAATGTCGGAAATAGCCTCAAATTTTAGAATAAGTTTAGATTTGTTCGAATTGGTCACCTTTGGCACCAATTATGGCCTTGAAACGGCCAATGAAACCGTCACACGCTGCCCGAATGTTGCTCTGCGGCGAAGCACTTGCTTGAGGTGATCGACACATTGGTATTTTTTAGTACCAACCTTTCTTTCCAAAATACTCCAGACACAATAGTCCAACGGATTGGTGTACGGAGATTTTTGGTGGCCATTAAGCGCTGGAAATGAAGCGTGGAACCTCATTTTGTAACCATTCTTGGATGGCGCGTGCTAAGTGCGGTGGTGCTGAGTCCTGTTGGAATGTCCAAGGTATGCGGCTAAAATGTTTGCGTGCCCAAGGCTTTAATATACCCTCCAGAATGTTTTCGCGATAATATTCGGCATTTATTTTGATGCAACGGTCGATTAATATGAGCGGAGTGCGACAATCGGCTGTTATGGCGGCCCACACCATCACCATGGCCAGCGCTTGAGTTCTGGTTGCCAACCGAAGGTGCACATGTTCAGCTGACCTCTTTGGCAAGTAAACACGATGATTTTGTTTGCTTACAAACTGCCGGGCAATGAATGTTTTCTCATCTGCAGTACACCACTTTCGGCCAAGCGAAGCAACTCTTTAGCTCTTTTGAGTCTATTTTCTTTCCGTTGGGGTGAAAATTCTTGCACTTTTTGAAATTTCAATGGCTTTACCCCGAGCTCATTTTTCAATATTTGCTGAAAGGAATATTGCGATATGTTCAGCTCACGAGCTATTTTTAGGCACTGCGACGCGGGTTTCGATCAAGTCGCTTCTTTATTTTTTTAAACCATTTCTGCTGATGTTGTTGTTTTCTTCCGTCCACTTCCATTACGTCGGGCTACGCTACCAGTATCACGGTAACGGGCGATGGTGCGAGACACAAAAGATTTATTCACATTTAAATGCTGCGGTCCTCTAACGATAGCCACTTGTGGTTTTCCAGCCAAATGTAAAGAAATCACACTATCACGCTTGAATTCCATCACGAATAACTTTTTTTCTGGAGAATTCTCACCAAAATGTTTTTGTACGCTTGTAAACAATATAATAAGCTGTCACTGGAATAATTTTAACAGCTGTCGGACAAGTGGCTTAGAAATGACAGTAGCCTGAAGTTCGTTGCAGTTTTTTCATCTCAAAATTTTGAATAATTATATCACTCAGAAAATCCGAAAAAGCATATGATTCATTCTAAATTTCACACATTCCGATATTTCTATTAACACAAGATCTGTTGTGAAGATGATAGATATCGCCCCACTCCATCTGGTACATCTCCCACAAAGGATCACAATTTTCAATTCTTATATCTCTTATAATTTGAGAAGCAATTCAACGATTCTTTTCAAACTTAGTATGCCTCAATATATTTCTCAAACAAAAATCTGATGTAAAAATGGAATCTTTCGAACAACTCCTTCTGGTATCTCCATACAAAAGTTCGAAATTTTGATTGTTCGCATAAAATTGGAAATAAATGTTAGCTTTTCTTAAAATTATCAAATTCAAATATTTTTATCAGTGTAAAAGTTCGCTATTTTGGCGAACCCTTCCCTAGAATTCAAAGTAATCACATTAAGTGGCCACTCATCCGAGTTTAATAGGGAAATCTTCTTTTCCTCTCTTTTAGGATTTACAATTACCAAGTTCAAATTGTAGGGTAGAATTAGCTGCACTCTTTTCTGCACTTTCTCCTAAAAGTTTTACAAATATTATAAAAATTATCATTATCATATAGTTTAAATGGGGCAAATTGTAATATTTATATCAGCCGTAAGTCAGATACGAAGAGATAACCCCACTACTTCAGAATCTTCCCCATAAATGGTCAACAGTTTATGATTGTTAAAACGCAAGACTAAAGGGCTAAGTACATAAGAAGCTTGAAGTCATGGCTAGACATATTTTGTGACATTTCACAAAGGGATTACAGAGCCGCACTAAAATCCAGCCGTCGTTTTCCATTATAATTTGACATTAATATGCCTAGCCATGACTTCAAGCTTCTTATGTACTTAGCCCTTAAGGATATACAATTGACGACAAAACCGACTGATACTTTTAAACTTGTTTTAACTTAACCGGAAATGCTTGTTATGCAGTGTACTATACGGATTTAGGAGACTTAGTCTAAGGTCGTTTTGAACTGCAGAAGAGTCTTGGAAAACACTGGGTTGTCCATCAAGCTGGTCATTTTAACATTCCGGGCAACGAGACTGCAGACGAATTGGCCAGGTTAGGATCCGAATCAACTACCATTGAAGTAGATAACTCGGTTAAACCACCAGTGTGCCACTTTCTACAGGTTATTCACACTACTCTGAGAGAATCAAACAAAAATGGCTGGACGAAATCGGTTGCACTATCTCCAAAAGAATCTGGCCCACACGGCCTCGGAGAAGAGAACAAAGTCGATACTGCCATTGTCGAAACCTGATTTAAAACTTGTGGTGGGTGTCATCACAGGTCACTGTAAGGTGAGGGCAATGACCTCGAAATGGGATAGCGATGACATTGACTACTGTAGGATCTGTCAAGATGAAGTAGAAATTGAGACAGTCGAACACTCGCTCTGCCACTGCCCAGCACTTATTAATGTGAGACACAGGTTGTTGGGGGAATTAGTGTCACATGATCTGTCTTCTTTTTCTAATACCGATCCTACAGTAATTCATCAATTAGCCAGTGATTAAAGACAACAGGCCAAATTCCTTAGCCGTAGATACCACTCTATAACTCTATCTTCTATCTTCACTCTCTTCCATCAACCATTACTTCCTTTTTTCATTTTACTATTCCTGGACCTGTAGGTCTCCGAGTGGAGCGGTTACCAAACGGTAACTGCGCGTGCTTTAACCTAACCTAACCTAACCTGGGTGACTTAGATATAAATTCGGATAAAACAAGTATATGGGAGCTATAGCTATATATGAACCGAAATTTAACACAGTTGATTCTAGGATTAATTTGGTAGTCTCTGCCGAAATTCATCCCATATGGGCTAATATTACACATTTGGCGAACAATATATTCGGAATCGAACGAAGATATATATGGGAGCTATATCCGAATCTGAACCGATCTCGATTAAGTGTGGCAGAGGTGTTTCTGAACTGCATTTGATATCTAGTACAAAATATCATTTTTATGAAGTGCATATTACGGATGTAAACACCAAATCGGATGAAGCATATATGTGGGAGATATAGCTACATCTTAAGCGATTTTCACCAAATTTTTTACACTCGTTTCTTGACTGAATTAGGTCATATGTATCGAAATCCCTTCTATTTGGGCTGATATTAAACATTTATATAAATTTGGTGAAAATCGGTTCAGATATATCTATATCTCCCAAATATATTTTTCATCCGAATTGTTGTATTTGTTCTCCACAGCCGTAATATACACTCCGTAACAACGATATCCGGGGAAATAGAAAATAGTTCAGAAACACTTTGCCAATTTTTTTCGAGATCGGTTCAGATTTGGATATAGCTCCCATATATATCTTTATCCGATTTCAAGTTATTTGTGATTTGTGCACCAAATGGGTAATACAAGCCCGAATTGAAAAGGCATAAATGACTCGTCAAATTTAATAGAAATCGATTCAGGGGAGGATATTCCTTTCATATATTAGTTCCTTTGGACTTAAAATCATAACAATAATTAGTAAATCTCATAAAAACAATATATGTATAGGAGTGTAGGGTGTTATAAAGTCGGCCCCGCCCGATATCTCCAATCGTACTTATTATACCATAAATTTTAATATGGAGAAAAAAAATCCTCAAATAAAATGAAAAACTCTGTAGAGAAATATTTTTAATTTTTTTTATTTATTTATTAATAACTTATCGAATAAACAATTAGCATTACATGGTAAAATAAATATTATTTCATTTTCATTAGCAATTTAACAAATAAATTGTTTTCTTCGAACTCGGGAGGGGGAAATATCTTATCCTAAAGAGAATTGATGTGAATTTAGGCGAAAACAATTTCGCATACTTAGTATTTTAGGAAGAAAATAAATTACGGCTAACTTAAAGCTATGATGCGGATATGTCAATTCACGATCTTAAATGATGTTGATGGTCATCACGATCATTTAATTCAAATTAATCCATTCATCGAGCGGTATGCGGGCAAACAGACGATCCATAAAGTTACGCATGACCAATGTGAGTTTTGTGCGCAAGGCTGGTTTCATTTCCTTCAACAATTCCTGGGCATTGGAGTTGATGAAGAGATTCAAGGCGGCCTCTGTGGGAGGGTATAAGAATTTTTAATTTCCCCAAAAATTTCGAATGAATATTTTAGAAAAGTTCTACTTACGTATAACCGAATTGCCATTGGCAATATTGTCAACACCCATCTGAATGTCCTTGACATTGAAATCCATTTTCACCTGCTCCGTGGTCAAATATGTGCGGCCATCTGGTCCCTCATGTGGTGTGGCCTTGAAATACATTTTCGATTTGACACCCTCTGTAATGGCGGAGAACAATTATGATTATGATGGTTCGACTTTGGTGAGAGATTGTTTGTTTTGCATGGAACACGCTTAGCTTAGAACACGCAACACACAAACTAGTTTTTCAATTCCGCAGCCATTGCTTCTAGCCGTTTACTTACCATATTCGCCCCAATATTCACCGGCACCAGATGCTTTGACCAAAATCAAAACACCGCTTGAACGATATTGGGCTCTAACCTTGATGCGAGGTATCTCACAGGTCAATTGAAATTGCAATGACTCCAAATCGGATCTGCGGGGAGAGAGAGAGAGAGAGAGAGATGATAAAAAAATGATTGGCCATAAATCAATTTTGGTGAAAACATGTTTTCGAATGTTTGTTTGAATGAATCGATTGCGAATTGTAATTCGCACAAACGAGTGTGTGGCTTTTTTGGATTTGATCTAAAGAAGTTGCGCAATGTTTGTTAAGAAGGAGAAGGGGGGTTTTTGAGTTAGTCTCAGAGTCAACTTTCCGGTATATCACATTGAGAATGCGACAGTAATGTTGTAACTTAAACATAAGCCATGATTTTGAATTCGAAGTGATGGCGAAAAAGGGTGTTGCAAATAGACACATTGGAAATGGTTGAAAAATGTTTAGGATAAATTAACAATTTTTAAGAGAAACATTTTTCAGATTGTAAGTACATTTATCAAAACCAGTTTTGAAGATTTTTTGGATTTTTTCAAAATATATTTTTTTAAGGAAAAATAAGATGGATTTTCCATAGATACAGGGATTATGGAAAAAAATCAAAGACTACGACAGTATAGGTCTTTGTAAAATAATGTTTTAGATTTTTAAAAATAATTTTTAAGGGCCAGCAATGTTGATTTTTTGAAAAAAAAAGTTTAAAAGTATCTGTCGGTTTTGCCGGGAGAGGTACCAGAAGGACTGAGCAGATGAATTCTTTATTCACATCAGATTTCAGGTTACACGATTTTAAAAGAATAGCTGTTTCGCAAATTGTAAGAGATATAAATGTTGAAAATATTGGAATTTGTGAAATTTGAAGAGAATCGGAGAATGGTGGTTATTCACAATTTCGACCCTTAGTGGAGGAGGTACCAACAGGAGTAGGCCGAAATATTCGATCTTTACACCAGGTCTTGTGTTTATAGAAATATTGGGATGTGCCAAGTTTGAAAATAATCGGATGTTTATTTCGCCTTTTTATGAGCTATAGAGTTATTCTCAATTTTGACCCTTTGTGAGGGGGGGGGGGGGGAGGGAGGGAGGTACCAAAAAGAGTGGACCGATATTCCATCTTCACCGCAGATTTTGCTTTAGTAGAAATAATGGGATGTGTGTAATATGAAGAAAATCGGATGCTTTTTTCGGATTTTATAATCGCTTTTGTTATTCAAAACTTTGACCCTTTTGTGGGGGAGGCAGCAGAAGGAATGGTCTGTCTCTACCATCTTTATAACAGATCTTGTGTTGATAGAAATATTGAGATGTGTCTAGTCTGAATGAAAATCCGATATTAATTACGTATTTTATGAGCTTCATGAATATTCAAAATTTTTGACCCTTTGTGGGGAGGGGTACCAGAAGGAGTAGACCGATATACCCCATTTTCACACCAGACATTGGGTAAATATTTTTATTAATTTGTGTAATTTGAAGAAACCCAGGTACTTATTTCGAATTTTCTGATCGTCTTGGTTATTCAAAACGTAGAATCTTTTTGGGGGAGGTACCAGAAGGAATGGCCCGCTCTCTACCATCTTTATAACAGATCTTGTGTTGGAAAATATTGGGATATACAAAGTCTTGAATGGAATCGGATGTTAATTTCGTATTTTATGAGCTTCGTGGGTATTCCAAATTTTGGAGCTTTTTGGGGGAGGTACCAGAAGGAGTGGACCGCTTTATTCCATATTCACACCAGACCTTGGGTTAATAAAAATATTGTGATGTGTAATTTGAAGACAATCGGACCCTCACATCACATTTTATAAGAGTTGTAATTATTCAAAATGTTGACCCCATGTAAGGGAGGTACTTGATGGAGTGGACCGATATTGTCCATTTTCGCACCTGATTAATATTAGGATTTGCAAATTTAGAGTAAAATCGGATTATTTTTTCTCTTTCTGTGCCGTTTATTATTTTCTTTGAAAATGTTGACATTTTGTGGGGGGAGGTGCAAGATGGAGTGGGCCAATATTGCCCGTATTCGAACTCGATCGGAGTGTGACAATAATATTACGATGTACCAAGTTTCAACCAAATCGGATACACCCTTAGAGATTTATCGTGCACACCAGCCAGCCTAAAACAGACGGACGGACATCGCTAGATCGACTCCAAATATCCTGAAACCGATTTGGTCCAAAGAGACCTAGTGTCCAAAACCGTTATTTCGATGAGGCAAGTTTTGGCCGTATTAAATGATTCATACCCCCTCTAGCCGAAAAAGTATTTAAAGGTATTAAATATGGTACCCTTTGAATGTGATGAGGCAGTAGAGCTGCGGCGGAGAGTAGTAGTATTAAATTTGGTACAATTTGAATTAGGTAAGATTGACGCATGAAGGTAGTTTTGGTCATTTGAACTCATGTGTACTACATGGTACAAATTTTGGTACAATTTGTATTTGAGCGAACTGATAGGGCTGGAATTGGCAAATTCGATTTCTATTGGCTTATGTGATGCAGGTTAAAATTTCGCAAGTAGAGTTTATATTTGGAGGTTGTTTTGGAAATACGTACTAAAAGTACGAAAAGTATTAAAAATTATTAACTTTGGTATTGCGGGAGCTAATAGAGCTGGAAATCAATTTTCGGAAATGGGGTTGTGGAAGGTGGCTTGGGAAATGTTTACTAAGTGCAAGAATTGTACTAAATTCGGTACAATTTGGTTTTGAGTGAACAGAAGTAGCTGGTAATTTGAAATATGGGTATTGAGGTCACTGCTTAGATAAATAGTTGCAAATTAAACATGCGTACGAAAGGTACTAAATGGTACTGATAGAAAATTGACATTTGGGTTACTGTTAGTGTTTAGGTTTGAGATTTGGAGGTGGCTTTGCAAAAACGTACTAAAAAGTACTAAATGGTACTCAAATTGATATTTGTGGGAAAATATGGACTTGGAAGTCTGAAATTTGCCAATGGAAACACCTTTTCTACGGTTTGGTTGATACATTGAAAATCTGAATCTGAACTTTGGAATGGAAGTTTTTGTTGCTGTGTACGATAGAGGAACTACACGGTTTTTCGAACAATAAATGGATCAAAAGTACTAAAATGCGCAATTTGGTACCATTTGAAATTATCTAAAATTATAGAGTTAAAAGTTTTACATTTGGAATGAGAATTAAGGTTGGAAAACAGGGTTGATATAAGGAGCTTGTTTGGAAATATATATTTCATCACTGTAACTGTGTGGCGTTTAAAAAAGTACTTAACGGTACTAAATTTGTAGGAATAGAGGTAAACTTATGAATTGTGCTATAAGGTTAAGTGTGGATTAGACACGGGCCAGTTTTCGGTAGGTTGTGTAAGAACAGAAGTGAAAATATAAATATTGATATAATGATATGATGATAAAATGCTCATAACACGCATTTGTGACCGAAAATTAAAAAATGGTATTAAATTTGGAACATAGAACAGAGGTTGATGATATTCGAGGAATTTTCTTTTTAAAAAAACCAGCTGATATAGTATCGGTGATTTCGTTTCTAAGGAAAAACAAAACTAAAATAGTAGATTTTCTAAATCTATAATTTTTTAAAAAATGAACACAGCGACTCGTTGAGCTATTGACATGATATGGACGACGAGTTATCTATGATCTACTTACGTTGTATTAACCTAATATTGATGAACTATTGACGAGCTATTGATGAATTATAAATGAGCTATCTATGTTTTTCGATGAGCTATCGGTAAATTATCTATAATCTATCTATGAGCTATCGGTTTGATATCAGCGAGCTACATTACTCTTGTGGTTCTTTAAATAATCCCTGCCCATTTGGCCTTGGAAACAATTAAAGAATCCATTTAACAAGAAATTCTGTGGATATATTTTAAAAGTTTTGTTTAAATTATTCTTTTTTTACCTTCAAGTATAATCTCAAACTCATCCAAGTAAATTTTGCATAATTTCCCCATCATGCCATTGCCACACCAGTTTGGGCGCCACAAGTAACAGAATTCAATTGAGGCACAACTCGAACACACATGAGTAAATACATATGTATATGCTTTTGTGGCACCTATAAATTTCTGTTCTGGCTAACCATTGCATGCCACACAAACACACCACTGGACGCTTGGTCTGGTCCGACTTGCAACAAAGTGACCAAATGCCGTCAAGGTCGTTACAAAAGAATCGATACATCGTCTACACCATTTGGAGGAACAAGTTTAACGAGTCTCGTTTATAGTCCATTAATTTTGGCGGTCTAGTGACATGAATGACGCCGCTTACTTGCATTACTATATATATTTTGCGGATGGAGTTACGTGCCATGTTAAAAGTACATGTACATAGATGCATATGTACATATATATGGAGGTCATTGGTTAGAAAAAAAAAAAAAAATAATAATATGAATGTAAATATGAGGATTTTGTTTTGTTAGGAGTTTAGAAGAATGGAAAATTTATTGGCTTTTTGGAGGCAAGAGCCATTTTTGTTGATTTTGAAGTTGTGGTAAATGTTTCCATACGAAAGATATATGAATGTAATGCCGGGGAGAAATAGAACTTCCCTATTTAAAATATTTACCAGAAAGAGTATATGGTCGACCAGAATCCCGGAAAAAAACTAACAACTATCGGGATGTACCGTTATATGGGGGATATACCTAAACAATGTTCCGTCACCGGAACTAGAACCCATTATGACCTACATATACTAATTTTAGGCAAATCGTGGTGAAATGTGGCAAAAATGATCAAAAACCGAACATGGGGAGATACCATTACATGGCGGCTATACGAAAAGAAAATCTATACATACAATGTTCCGCCACCGGATCTTAAAACCATTATGACCTACATATACCAATTTTTAGACAAATCAGTGGAGAACTGTGGCAAAAATCATCAACATTTCGAATATCGGGAGGTACCGTTATATGGGCGCTATGCCAAAACGTTGACCTATACATATAGTGTTCCGCCACTGGAACCCATTCTGACCTTCAAATACCATTTTTAAACAAATCCGTGGAAAAATGTGGCGAAAATCATCGAAATTCCGAATATTGGGAGGTATGTTATTTGGCGGCTATAAGAAAACTTGGTCCCGACACCGGAGCTAAAACCCATTATGACCTACATATACAAATTTTTGGACAAATCAGTGAAAAAATGTGAACAAATTATCAAAATTCCGAATATCGGGAGGTACAGCTACATGGCGGCTATACGAAAACATGGACCTATACGTACAATGTTTCGCCACCGGAGCTAGAACCTGATATGACTTACAAATACCAATTTTTACAAAAAATGTGGCGAAAATCATGAAAATACCGAATATCGGAAGGTACCGTTATGTGGCGGCTATACCAAGACGTGAATCGACATATCTGATTTTCAATACCAACCATCCTAGACATAATACACATTGTTGTGCCAAATTGTATAGCTCTACGTAAAATAATGTGGGGTGTATCATGATTTTAACAAGCAGACGGACTTACGCTGATTATAAATATTCGCACTTGAGCCAGACATACAGACGGGCGGACAACAACCTACAACCCTAAATCGACTCCAACTAAGAATACATACAACGCTTTTATACTGGCTTAAGTCATCGGCTGGCTTCTTTGGGAAGGAACAAAGGAGTGTTGGGCCAAAATTGAACTAAGTAAACCTATAACTCCTTTTTTCCTCTACGAAGAAGCCAGCCGATGACTTAAACCAGTCAAAAAAAGCGTTTTATATATTGTCACCTTTATTAATGATAGTGGGTATTAGTATTGCTTGGTTCTGTATTATTTTGTAAACAAATTCATCCTCTTCTTCTCTCGTTTGCTAACTCTCTTATATTTTCTCCAACCATGGCTTTGCCTTAGGCTGGAAATACATAAAGCGCATATTTGGCTGGCTTAAGTCATCGGCTGGCTTCTTCGTAAATGAACAAAGGAGTTTAATTGGAAAAACAAACAATTGCTACATTTGTATTGTGAGAAAGTAAGAGACAAACTCAACTCTCTCTTGTGCAAGAGAGTATCTGTAACTTTAGGAACAAAGTTTGTGAAATACAACAATCGGAACATTTAACATCCGTATCCTTTTTTCTGCACAAATATAAATAATTTTGTTTGCAATTCATCCTTACCTCACATTTGTTATTGTCAAATTACTAACGCCAAATGCCTGAATATTACGGAACAGAGCCCGATAACCATCTGGGCCCGAACCCAATGAAATTCCAATTTCATCGATATCGACTGGTTCAACCTGAAAGAACCAAAAAAAAAGTTAACTGTTTCTCTTCACCATCGAATCGAATGCGCAATACCCACCTCATACATCTCCAGTTCGGGAATACCTTGCCGCAGATAATGCACCAATTTGTTGCCACTGTCACGTAGACACTCGTTGATAATTTGCTCATCACGAGGACATTGCTGCAGATAGTAGGCTGTAATATTTGATAGAAAAACATTTTTTATTAATAAAAAATTGATTTATTGTCTATAAAAAAATTTTGAATTGAATGTAGATATTTTAAAGAAAAAAATTAAATTTTTTGATTTAAGAAGAAAAGTTACCGCTATAATAAATATTTCTTGGAAGAACTTTGACAAAAAGCATCGAAATCTGGTTAGAGCTATGAGCGGTCGGAAAAATGTTGCAAACATTTTACCGGCAAGGATCAGTTTCTCATAACGGGGAGGATCCTTATCAGGAATTTCAAATAATTATCTGGTCGATTTGACTTCTGTAACTGTTTCGAAGAGAACTGAAATAATTGAACCATGTCTTCTCTGAACGCCTTGTCATCGAAGTTTCTGTAATTACCAATGGACCAGAATTTCCTATTCACCATGACACGTTGTAATCTCAGTGATACAACTTCCGTTGGGGTTCATAAGGTGAGTCCATGTTTGATTTAATTTTACAATATAATCTTACATTTATTAATAAGGGCAATATCGCGACTTAACAAAAACAAACGGAAGATTCATTATTGTCTTAAACTGGAGGGTATCATATGGGGGTTGAATATGTATGTGCTGGGGATATACATAAGAAACTATAGAAATGTCAGTCGGTACGGTGGATATAAGATTTAGCAAATTTAAGAAGTGAGCAGTATGCTTTACAAAGAGGTTACTAAAACTAAGCAAAACGCCTTTTCCAGTCTAGATACTCTTAAAAAAAAAATCTTGGGAACCATGATAGAATCAGGAGGGTAAAACCATACAATAAGAGGTCAAAATTTTAACTCTTATAAAATGTGAAATAAGGATCGGATTCTCTTCAAATTTCACACATTTTCTGAACACAAGATCTGATGTGAAGATGAGATATATCGGTCCACTCCTTCTGGTACCTCCCACACTAGGGTTTCAACATTTTCTAATAACCATGAAATGAACATCCGATTATTTTCAAACTCAGCACATTGTAATATTTCTATCAACACAAGGTCAGATGTGGAGATGGAATATATGGGTGCACTCTTTCTGGTACCTCGCTCACAACGGGTATACATTTTGAATACTTATATTCCTCATAAAATGCGAAATAAGCATCAGATTTTCTTCAAAATTTCGCACATCATCGTATATATCGGCCCACTTCTTCTGGTTCTTCCACCACAAAGGGTTATCATTTTTGAATAACCAAAACGCTCATAAATGGCGAAAAATCACTGACTTGTTTCGCAAATTATGAGAGACATAAGCAAATTGAATGAAAATTTTGACTCTTTGTGGGGGAGCTGCCAGAAAGGGTTCGTAGATATATATAATCTTCACAGATATTGTTTTAACAATAATGCTTACATGTGTGAAATTTGAAGAGACTTGGATGCTTATTTCGCTTTCTTAAGCGTGTTGTTTTTTAAATCTTGAACTCTTTGTGGGTGAGGTACTAGAAGAAATAGTCCGATCTCCACCACCTTTATTACAATTCTTGTGTCGATGGAAATATTGAGATGTGCCAAGTCTGAATGGAATCGGATGTTAGTTTCGCGCTTTAAGAGCTTCATGGATATTCAAAATGTTGACCCTTTGTGGGGGAGGTACCAGAAGGAGTGGACCGATGCATCCCAACTTCACAGCAGATCTTGTGTTGGTAGAAATAATGGGATGTGTGAAATACGAAGAGAGACAGATGCTTATTTCGGATTTTATAATCATTTTAGTAATTCATTTGATCCTTTTGCGGGAGAGGTACCAGAAGGAATGGTCCGATGTATCCCATCTTCACACCAGACCTTGGTTTAAAAATATTGTGATGTGTAATTTGAAGATAATCGGGCTGTTATATCATATTTTGTAAGATTTATAATTATTCAAAAATTTAGCCCTTTTGTGGGGGAGGTATTTGATGGAGTGGACCGATATTGTCCATTTTCACTCCTGCCTAGCACTGATGCGAACATAAGAATTTGCAAAGTTGGAGAAACATTCGATTATCCTTTCATTATCAGTGCAGTAAAAAACATATTTTTTTTAAATTTCGACCTTTTGTGGCGGACCTTCTCCAACAATTATAGGCAGACCATAATAGAAATAATAACAAGTAAAAAAGCAGTAAGTTCGGCCGGGCCGAACTTTGAATACCCTCCACCATTTGGAACGAATTAGAAAATTTTCAAAAAAATAAAATCCATTAATTTTTTTTAAGTCTTTAAAATATCTAATGTAGGAAGGTGCTGATATATGGGGGTATATATGATATTGCGGACCTATTAAGACAAATCTATGTCTGGCTGTAAAGTACTCACAAGGACCTTCTTGTGTGGATTTTCAGATAATTCCATAGGAAAAAGTTGCTAAAATCATCAAACTATTGAATATCGGGGGGTACCGTTATATGGGGGATGTACGATATTGCGGACCTATATAAACAATTCCCTTTCAGCGGGTAAAGTGCTCACAAAGAACTCCTTGTGTGGATTTTCAGACAATACGATTTGAAAATGTGACTAAAATCATCAAAATACCGAATATCGGGGGTACCATAATATGGGTGCTGTACGATATCATTAACCCATATAAAAAATTCTCTGTCGGGGGGTAAAGTGCTTACAAAAAACCCCTTGTGTACAATTTCCGTTGAAAAATGTGGGTAAAATCATCAAAATACCGAATATCGGGGGGTACCGTTATATGGGGGATATACGATATCGTGGACCTATATAGATAATTCTCTGCCGAGGTATAAAGTACCCACAAGGAACTACTTGTGTGGATTTTCAGACAATTCCATTGAAAAATGTGGCTAAAATCTTCAAAATACTGAATATCGGAGGGTACCGTTATATGGGGGCTATACGATATCGTAGACCGATATAGCCCATCTTCGAACTTGACCTGCCTGCAGACAAAAGAGAGATCTGTGCAAATTTTAGCTTCCTATCTTAATTCGTTTAGACTGTAGCGTGATTACAACAGACGGACAGACGGACGGACAGGGCTAAATCGTCTTAGAATTTTAAGCTGATCAAGAATATATATATACTTTGTTGGGTCTAAAATGATTATTTCGATGAGTTACAAACGGAATGACGAACTTAATATACCCTCCATACTATGTATGGTGGAGGGTATAAAAATTTAACATGAACCGACTGGCGAATATAGGATTGGTATCGGTCTAGGACCAATGTAGTGTTGTAGGGTACAATGAGTTGGAAGTTGGGATCATTGGTAAATCTTGGACGGAATTGTATGCTCTACGGACGAACATGACTATATCGATCGCAAGGTATCCTTATATGAGGGCTTGGACTTCCATAGATAATTTTCCTTAATTGTGGGTGATATCAATTACTCCAAATATCTATTTTGGAATAGTTCCGTGAAAAAAGGAGGGTTTAAAAAACGACTATGAAGTATTGGGAGATTTCGAGAAATATACGAACTCGTGGACTTGAATAAAAGTTTTTCAGCTGAACAATAAAATATTGTCAATTTCGATTAAGGCTGATTGGTCGAACTTAGATGACACATAAGCTGTTTCATTAAAAGTTTACAAAAAAGTCTAGCCAACACTAATAAAAATTCAAATGTTAAACGAATTCACGCCAACAAATTTAAAATAAGTTCTTACAACTTCGAGACGGGAAGTTATACAAATGTGAAAGTCTGAATCACATCCTAAATTGTCTTGTAAAAATATTTTTTTTGTATTTTTCATTAATAATTTATATATCTTCGGATAAGATTTCAATAATTTTATAATAATTCCCCCTCGCCCTCATCATCAAATATATTTTTTTAGGAAACCTATTATTAGCATTTTATATTTTCTTTGTTATTGTTTAATGTGTGTATTTTGTTTTACAACATTATACTGTAAATACATAAACGAGCTGCTTTGAATCGATGCATAAAATTATTTTATGCCAAAAATATTTTTGTTATTGTTGTTATTACTGTGAAACGTAAAAAAGGCGTTTTGTAGCAGTGAACGACCCGGAGAAATTATTTTTTAAATTGCTTTGTTACTTTTTTCTTCTTCCTTTTTACAGCGTTTTATTTTTGTTTTTGCTTTTTATGAAAGCATTCGTGATTTGCAATCTTCTTGTAAATTGCAATTTCTTATGAAGTGAAAAATATTGTAATTATTTTTTGAAGGTTATAATTAAATTTGTGTAAATTTCCATGAATTGGAATGAATAATTTTTATGCCGGGAATAGGAAGAAAAAAATTATAATAGACCTTAACACAGAACTACGCCAAGTTTAATTTAGTGACAACTACAAAAAATGTATATGTCTCGAGCTGGTGCTCTCCAACTCTATATGTGGTTCTTATCATTAACTTAGAATCAATGCGATCTTTAATAACTTAAGAACATATCTACCAAGTAATATAATTCTTTCCATTTGTTTTAATTTTAAAATAGTTATAGCTCTCATATATATGTTTCATCCGATTTGGGGCTCACAAGCGTAATATGCACTTCACAACAATGATCTTTGGTGCCAAATATCAGATACAACTCAGAAATAAGTGCCTAAAATTTTGTCGAGATCGGTTAAGATTTGGATATAGCTCACATATATATCTTTATACGATTTCAGGTTTACTGTGCAACAAGTGGCTAATATCAGCCCAAAAGGGTTGAATTTTGGCACATCCGACGGAATTCAGAGCAGAAGTGAGGACTTGTTAAAAATCAGCTCAGATATAGCTATAGCTCCCATATATACAGGGTGAAATTAAAAACCAGCAACCAATTTCAGACTAAGCAACTCGTCCGAGAGCTGTTAAAATTATTCCAGTGACAGCTCATTTGGTGAGAATTTTCCAGAAAAAAATTTATTCGTGATGGAATTCAAGAGTGATAGTTTGATTTCTCTATATTTAGCTGGAAAACCACAAGTGCTCCATCGTTAGAGCACTCCAGCATTTAAATGTGAATAAATCTTTTGGGTCTCGCAACATCGCTCGTTGTCGTGATACTGGTATCGTAGCTCGACGTCAAGAAAGTGGACTAAAGAAAACAGCAACATCAGCAGAAATGGTTCCAAAAGTAAAGAAGTGACTTGATCGAAACCCGCGTCGCAGTGGCCGAAAAATGGCTCGTGAGCTGAACTTGTCGCAATATTCCATTCGACAAATATTGAAAAATGAGCTCGTGGTAAAGCCATTGAAATTCCAAAAAGTGCAAGAACTAACACAGCGACAGAAAGAAAATAGACTCAAAAGAGCTAAAGAGTTGCTTCGCTTGGCCGAAAGTGGCGAACTGCCGAATTTGGGTTTCTCCGATGAGAAAACATTCGTTGTCCAGCAGTTTGTAAACAAACAAAATGATAGTGTTTAAATATGCACCTTCGGTTCTGGTGGCCAGAACTCAAGCGCCGGCCATGGTAATGGTGTGGGCCGCCATAACAGCCGATGGTCGCTCTCCGCTCGTATTAATCGAACATCAGAATAAATGCCGAATATTATCGCGAAAATATTCTGGAGGGTGTATTAAAGGCATGCAAACATTTGCCTCAGACCTTGGATTTTCCAACAGGACTCAGCACCATCGCACACAGCACGCGCCACCCAAGAATGTTTACAAAATGAGGTTACTCGCTTCAATGGCCACCAAAATCTCCGGATACCGAAGTGTCGATACTGCAGAGCAACACTCGGGCAGTGTGTGACGATTGGCCGTTTGAAGACCATACTCGTGCCAAAGGTGACTAATTCGAAAATAACTAAACTTATTTTAAAATTTGAAGCTATTTCCGACATTTTTGCTTTCATTCAATAAAATTAAAAAAAATAAATGAACTGAATTTTGGCACTTCCGACGAAATTCAGTCCAGAAAAATTTTGGTGAAAATCGGTGCAGATATAGCTATAGCTCCCATATGTTTCATCCGATTTGGGGTTTCAAGTCCTCACATATGTAGTATGCACTCCACAACAATTATATTTGATACCCGACATCAGATACAGCTTGAAAATACCTCTGCCAAATTTAATCGAGATCGGATCTTCATCCAATTTTTCGATTATTGTAATATTATTGGATAGATTTTTTCATATTCAACCGAAGACGGGGACCTGCATAACTAATTTTTTCTGTCTATAATGTCGCTAAAATAGGGGCTATACGAAAACGTGGACCGACATGCCCCATTCACAGACGGACAGACTTACGGACATCACTAAATCAACTTAGAATGGAAGATATATTAAGTTCGTCATTCCGTTTTTAACTCATCGAAATAATAATGTAAGACCCATGTATATACATCTTTGTTCAGCGTTAAATTCTAAGACAATTTAGCCTTGTCCTTCCGTCCGTCTGTTGTAATCACACAGACGAAATGAATAAAGATGGGAAGCTAAAACTTTGCACCGATCTGTCTTTTGTCTGAAGACAAGTCAAGTTCGAAGATCGGTCCTCGATATCGTATAGAACCCATTTGACGGTACCTCCCGCTATTCGGTATTTTGATGATTTTAGCCTCATTTTTCATTGGAATTGCCTGACATTCTACACAGGCCCACTTTACCCCCTGAAAAAGAAATGTCTATATAAGTACACGATATTGTACCACCTCCCGATATTCGGTATTTTTATAGTTGTAGCCAAATTTTTCAATGGAATAGTCTGAAAATCCCGACAAGGAGATCCTTCTGAGCACTTTGCGCCCTGGAAGAGATTTGCCAATACAGATTCACGTTTTAGAATATGACCCATATAATGGTACCCCCATATATTCGGTATTTATTTTAGAGACATTATTCACCGGAATAATTTTAAATTTCGTATTTGAAATTCGCAATTGATACTACAGCCTATCACAGAAAATTGTCTGTGCAGGTCCACGTTTTACTATAGCCCCCATATATAGTACCTCCCAACATTCGGTATTTTGATCATTATTCATCGATTTTTTTTCAAGTTTCGAATTTTAATATTTTCAAAACAAAAATCAGTTAAAATCTTAAAAATACCGAATGTAGCCGTTATGTTAGGGCTATACGACGACGTGTAGCTTTTATCATAAGCCATTACGTCGTCGTATAGCCCTAACATAACGGCTACATTCGGTATTTTTAAGATTTTAACTGATTTTTGTTTTGAAAATTGCCAAATTCTTTCCAAATGGTGAAGGGTATTCAAAGTTCGGCCAGGAACTTACAGCTTTTTTACTTCTTTTCTTCTAAAAATACCTCTTTTGGTCCTATAATCAACCACCAGGATTCTTTTTTAAAAATCGTCTGAAGTCTTTTTTTTAAAAGAATACCTTCAAAATAATAATCGTAAAATTAAATTCCACATTCCATTGTGCATATCTCGTTGATCTTCTCGTTGGCTTCCAAATTTGAATAGTTCATTTCAAAATTCTCTTTTCAATTTTCTCCATTGAATAAAAAATGTAAATAGAAAAGTGGCAGCAAAATATATAAATAAATAAACATTTATAACTTACGTTGTTGTGCCCGCACGGGGATGATGCTGGCCAATAATGACGTCAAAACAATTAGAACGATTTTGAACATTTTTACCGAAAATCGTTTTCGAAGAAAGTAAAAGTTATTATTTTTTTTGTTTAGATATAGACTAGTTAACACTTTTCTTGTTGGCTGTTGGGTTATAACCTTTTGTTGCACCAAAAATCAATTAACAGTTCTTCACTTCGCCTTTGAATGGACACTGAGTGACAAACAGCGAAAGTTTTTACTTTTTTACTTCAAATCGATCGTTAAAATATGTTAATGTTAATGTAGTGTTGACCACGTTTTTTCTCTCTCTCTATCTCTCTCACTCTCTCTTGCTCTATCACTGTTTCAAGTAATTTCACTTTGTCTTCTGGAGGTGGTCAATGACTGGCGGACAAAAATTGGGTCATGACCCGATTAGGTTTTTTTAATGGTTAATTTATTCGAATAAAATATTCAAAAAGTTTTTTCAGACACTTTTTTTATTAAAATAAACTCTTTTGGAATATTTAATAATTTTAGATGTTGTTGTTTTTTTATCTCCATGTAAAATTCAATTTCTGGTATTGCATTAAATTACTTCTTCTTTCCTTTTTCTGAGATCACTTGCTTGTTATTCTTGACTCAAATAAAGGCAGGCAGGCAGACAGGCAGCCCAGCAAGCAAAATTTACTATTTCGACCGGTCGTCGTGGTGTACAACTTTCACGCGATTCACTTTACAAATGACTCGCTGTGTGAATGGGTTCAGCATTTTAACCATCTTCGAAATCCAAGAAATGCTTTTGTTTAATATTTTCCACGATTCGTTTTGTTGTAGTTGTTTTTGTTTTCTTTCTTCTTTCTTTCCTTTGCTGCTTTCTTGGCCAATATCAACAACACCAGTCCGCCGAAAGCCATCATCCAAGTCAGGCGCGTAGAAAGGTAAACAAAACATAGCCAAGCCAAGATTTTTAATTGCATGAATGTTGTATGCGTTGAGAGTGTGTTGGTGTTGGTGGTGGCATTGTGTCCGACTGTGTGTGCTTTGTTCGAAAGAAATGTTTCAAGAATGCCTCGAAAGGGGAAATGTTTGCTTAACCCATTGTGTGCAAATATGAGTTGGAAGGTATAGTTCAAGGCTTATTTGGCAGGTGAAAAAATAAGGCGAATTTTATATTGCGGTTCTCTTTCCGTACGAAATTTTAGTTTACAAATTTATCAGGTACTAGCAAATGCCGGTTATTTTGTCATCGAAAAGTTCACCTTAAAGTTTTAGATTCGTTCCAGCAATTCGTGTTAGGCATTTTTAGTACTTAGCAAGTAAAAAAACAGCTAAGTCCGGCCATGCGGAACTTTTAATACCCTCCACCATTTTGAAGGATCTTGAACAATTAAAAAAAAAAAAAAACATCGAAAAATACCACTGAAATGAAAACCTTTATAAGAGGGCTATACGAAGAGGTGGACCTGCATAATTTTTTTTTTCATGGCTAAAATCATGAAAATGCCGAATATCGGGGGTTGCCTTTATATGGGGGCTATACGATATCGTGGACCAATATATAAAAGACTTAAAAATCTTGCATTTTGAATTTTATCGGATATTAGTTAATTCATGGCACAATGTACCCCCATCCAATTCTTCTGTCCAAAAGTATTACAACGTCACCACATACAAAACCTAGAAACCAACTGTGACCTCAATAGTAAATATTTCAAAATTTCAGATCTATCCCTTCACCCAACTTAAAATTTGGTACGCATATCGAAAAAAAATTACAGGGTGAGATAAAAAAACTGCAACAAAGTCAAACTCCCTAAGTAATAACATTCTTTTTTAAATGTTATTGAATGAAAGCCAAAAATTTCGGAAATAGCATCAAATTTTAGAATAAGTTTAGATTTGTTCGAATTGGTCACCTTTGGCAGGAATTATGGCCTTCAAACGAACAATGAAACCTTCAGACGCTGCCCTGTGTTGCTCTGCGATATTTTGGCCCATTCCCGGCGAAGCGCTTGCTTGAGGTGATCGACACTTTGGTATATTTTAGTGCCAACTTTGCTTTCCAAAATACCCCACACACAATAGTCCAACGGATTAGTATCCGGAGATTTTGGTGGCCATTGTGCGCTGAAAATGAAGCGAAGAACCTCATTTTGTAACCATTCTTGGGTGGCGCGTGCTGAGTGCGATGGTGCCTGTCCTGGAGTCCTGTTGGAATGTCCAAGGTCTGCGGCCAAAATGTTTGCCAGCTCAAGGCTTTAATACACCCTTCAGAATATTTTCGCGATAATATTCGGCATTTATTCTGATGCCACGATCGATTAATACGAGCGGAGAGCGACAATCGGCTGTTATGAGGGCCCACACCATCACCATGGCCGTCGCCGACGCTTGAGTTCTGGTGGCCAATCGAAGGTGCACATTTTCAACTGATCTCTTTGGCAAGTTAACACGATCATTTTGTTTGTTTACAAATTGCTGGACAACGAATGTTTTCTCATCGGAGAATGGAGAAAACCAAAATTCAGCAGTTCACTATTTTCGGCCAAGCAAAGCAACTCTTCAGGCCTCAAACCACTGCGACGCGGGTTTCGATCAAGTCGCTTCTTTACTTTTCGAACAATTTCTGCTGATGTTGCTGTTTTCTTCCGTCCACTTCCTTGACCTCGGGCTATGCTACCAGTATCACGGTAACAGCGAGAAAGTACACTTTTCCAAAACTACCTCTATGTTTTAATCCCTCTCAACCACAACACCAACAGGTACATCCATTTCAAATTTCATGATTTCAGTTCTTTATATTCTCTCATTACCAAATTTAGTTCAATATAGTACTTTTTGAACAACTATTGTACGCATTTCCAAACCCACCTCCACATATCTGAAACCCAGACTCCAATAGTGACATCTATATCGAATTTCAGCTCTATTCCTTCACACAATACCAAATTAAGTAAAATTTAATTTAATAACAACTAAATCCATATCTCAATCCCAAATAGCAACAGAGACCTCAATATCCAATTTGAGGACCCTATGCGTTCTCCCGATACCAAATTCAGTACTTTTTGAACAAATATAGTTCGAATTTTCAAATAATCTATATATCTCAACCTTAGATACCAACAGTGGCCTTAATATCAAATTTCCGGAATTCAGCTCTGTAATTCTCCCCGTTGCCAAATTAAGTACCATTTAGTACAACTATAGTACATATTTCCAAAATCACCTCCTTCTCTCAAACAACAGATACCAAGAGCGATGCTTCAACTTCGAGATTCCAGCTCTATAGATTCAGTCAATACGAAATATAGAAACATTCAGTAATTTTCGTACAACAATAATACACATTGTCCTGTCCACCGCTAAATCTCAAATACAATTTTATCAATAATCTAAATATCAAATTTCTGAATTGTTACTCTTGCCCTTCACCCAATACCAAATGTAGTACCATTCAGTACATTCCGTACAATTATCACTCACTCACACAATCACTTGCATATGTTCAGGCTATACATGAACTGCGACCCTAATGCCAAATTTTAGATTTCAAGCACTATCTGTTCACCCAATGCCAAATTGTACCGAACGTGGTCATTTTCGTGCACATTCCTAAAACCACTTTTTTCTTACAAACCTACTACCAAGAGGGAAACGAATACAAAATTTCAGCTTCATACATTCACCCTAAATCAAACTGTTCCTAATTTAGTACCAGAGATTTTGGTGGCGGAGATTTTGGTGGCCATTGTGCCCTGGAAATTAAGCGAGGAACCTCATTTTGTAACCATTCCGTGCTGTCCAAGGTCTGTGGTCAAAATGTTTGCGTATCCAAGGCTTTAATACACCCTCTAGAATATTTTTGCGATAATATTCGGCATTTATTCTGATGCCGCGGTCGAATAATATGAGTGAAGAACGACCATCGGCTGTTATGGCGGCCCACACCATCACCATGGCCGGCGCTTGAGCAAAGCAACTCTTTAGCTCTCTTGAGTCTGTTTTCTTTCTGTTGCGGTGTAAGTTCTTCCACTTTTTGAAATTTCAATGGATTTACCCCGAGATCATTTTTCAATATTTTCCGAATGGGCCATTCCGAGCCATTTTTCGGCAACTGCGACGCGGGTTTCGATCAAGTCGCCTCTTTACTTTTCGAACCATTTCTGCTGGGCTAAGCTACCAGTATCACGGTAACGAGCGATGGTACGAGACACAATAGATTTATTCACATTTAAATGCTGGAGTGCTCTTACGATAGCTACTTGTGGTTACCTAGCCAAATATAAAGAAATCACACTATCACGCTTGAATTCCATCACGAATAACTTTTTTCTTGGAAAAATTCTCACCAAAATGCTTTTGAACGCTTGTAAACAATATAATGAGCTGCACTGGGATAACTTTAACAGCTGTCGGACGAGTGGCTTAGAAATGACAGTAGTCTGAATTTGGTTGCAGTGTTTTCATCTCACCTTGTAGTACACATTTCCAAGACCACCTTCTTATATTAAACTTACTTTACAACCTTAATTCTCATACATTTTTTTTTAGTTTTTAGCTTCACATATTACCAAATGGTAGAATTTTAGTAAAATTTTAGAACATTTCCTAAATTTAAAGTTTTATTTTCCAATAATCCTTTGGTGCATCTATACTGCACTCCATCAGTTATTCTCATTAAAAATTTCAGAATTCCAGCTCCCTCGGTTTATCACGATTCCAATTTGTACCAAATTAAGTACCATATAATACCGAAAAGTACGAATTTCCAAAGTTTCCTACATAACCAAATACAAGACTCCTACAGTAATCTTAATTACAAATTTCAGGATTCCAGCTCTATCGGTTCACCCAACTCCAAATTGCACCAAGTTTAGTACGTTTTAGCACATACAAATCTCCAAAACAACCCGCACATCCCAATCCTACAATCTGACTTAAATCTTATTTCCAATTTTATGAACACCAACTCTATTGGTACACACAAATCCAAATTGTACTACATTTTCAGAATACCAGCTCTATTGGTTCACCCAAATCTAAATTGTACCAAATTTAATACATTTAAGTACTAACGTTCAAAACACCAAAACATCATACAGTTCAATAGAAATCTTATTTCAAATGTCGGAATTCCAACTCTTTTGGTTCACTTAAAGTTTAAATTGTACCAAATATAGTACCCTATAGTGTACATAAGTCATATTTTCCAAAACTAATTACATTCCTCAGTCCTAGAATGCAATAGTAATCTTGCATCTAAATTTCAGAATTCGTACTCTCTCGGTTCTCCCAAATCGTAATTGTACAAAATTTAGTACCATTTAGTACTTTTCGTGCACATAAGTACAAATTTCGGAAACTTCCTCCATATCCCAATCCTACACTTCGCAGGTAATTTTAATTTCAAATTTCAGGATTCCAGCTCTATCCCTTCCTCCAAATTAAAATTGTACTAAATTTAGTACCGTTTAGTATTTTTCGTGTACATGAGTAGGCACTTCCAAAACTGCCTTCTTACATCGATTCTACATCCTCAACCTTGATTCCCATTCCACTTTTGAACTTGGATTTAGGGAAAATTGAGTTGGTTTGTAAGTATGACCCAATTTCAATAACAATAAAATTCTACGGACTAGAATAGGTTTTATTAAAATTTTACC